TTTTTTTTTACCTTCCTCTAAGATTGCAATCGGTGAAATAAATGTCAGAGATAAACTTCTCTGCTCGTTCCAAAAGCGTCCGACGATTCTTCAGCACTGGCTGGTGATACATTGCCTGAGATACACTGTCCAGCAGAGACAATAACTGTCCCCAAGACGTTCACTAACACTGAGAGAGCAAGGATCACAACAGACAGAAAGGGAGATTCAGTAAGTGGTAGATTCATGCATGCTCCTCCTAACCCGGAAATATCAGAGACTGTCTCTAAATTACAAATTTGCTGAATTTGCACACGAAACAAATGCCAGAGCGCCAGTTAACAAAGCAACATTGACTCTCAAACAGGATTTGCCGCTGACAGGCTTTCGCTTTATTTTCATGCAGCTTCTTCGGTAACTCTGCCTTCAGCTGTTTTACAATGAATGCTCGAAATAATAAGTATGTAGCCGATACAACGGAGGTCATGGGAGTTAAATGTTTCCTGCGAGGGATGAAAATCGTCTTTTACCACACATGATTTCAATAGAATTGCAAAACGTCTGTGACTACGGATTCACGGTTTTCAATATTTCATTAATAATAAAAACGGGGGAAAAAAATAAATTTAGATGACAGAAAAACATTACGTTGCGGATGACATCCATACAACACCGCACGGCTCCCTAAAGCCTTTGTCATTCAGTCATCCGACGGCGAGGTGGCGCTACTCCCTGACACCCGTCGGCGGCCTCGACTCAGGGTCATGCGATCTGCGGTCGCGCTAGGGTAGGAGCAGCATCGGTTGTGCTGTGCTGTTCTGAATGGAACTAAAAGGAGAGAGGAAATACACGTGAAGATTTGTATTTTTTGATCCGAATTAGTGGCGATTCATATGAGAGTTGTCGTGTTGGGCAGTTTGGGCGCTGTGGGGAGTCGCATGCCGAGCTTTGCGGGGGACAGAGATTTAAACAACTTCATTCCGGACCCAACCCAGAAATGACAACATCGGTGTTCTTCGGCTGTGCGTTCATCGCTTTCGGCCCAGCTATCGCTTTGTTCGTGTTCACCATCGCCAGGGATCCCCTGCGAGTCATCTTTCTAATTGCTGGGTGAGTGTGCGGTCTGAAATAACGTGACTTATTTAACGGAGGAGGGTACTGGCCGCCGATCGTAGCCCCTTCGTGTGTTCCTCCGGTAATCGCAAACAACGCTCGTCTGCCGGGGCAAGTCCGTGCAGGCCATGTAATGAGACAGGAAAAAAGGCTTATTTTAGTG